CAGAGCTTGCTGCTGTCCCCCCTACACATGCTCTGTCACCCCCCTGTGCCATGGCCCCGGCACCTTTCATCCTTACCGTCTTCTATAGCTTTGGGTGAACCTAAACGAACACCCCGGAGCTGAACTCAGCCAGGCCATGAGGAGTTGGGAGTGGGGACCAAATTTGGCAGCCTGGATGCTTCTCCACTTGAGAGGCTTTGAAAGGGAATGTATTTTTGGAGCATTAAAGATCAACTGTTTCTGACTCCGGCCAATCCCTTTCAAGAGCAGCACCAAAGGAGGTCAGTGGGATGCGGCTGGTCAAATATTTTGTACATGAACATCATCTCTCACCCCCTCAAGTATTTACAGACCTGAGAGCATTTCCTGCTGTTCCCCCCCGTTGAATATTTGGTGTCTCTGCTTTCTCTAGCAGGACGGTGCAGTGCATCTTGGTTAGTGGTGAAGATGTGAAGGGCCACCCCAGTGCCGCCCTTCAGTACAGAAAATAAAACCTAAAGCAGCGCAGTGTGTTTAGTCACACAAATGGCAATGGATTTACCCAGCAAGCAGTGAAACAGCAGTGCACGATAATGAGAAAATATATGCGGGGGTGGTGGTGGGGGGGAGATGGGGTGGAAAGAGGGAGTTTTATTCTCCAGGGTTTTTTTGTAATCTTCATTCACCATATTTAGTAGGCTTGTGACTTGCCCTTGCTAGCTCATGGAGAATTCCCCCAAGTGTTTACTCCCACAACCTAGCAAATGCCTCAATACACATCATGGAAAAAATACAATCGACATCTTCACTCCCACTAGAGAAGGAATTCTAACTTGCCCGGCACAGACCGGGAGTATGTGCCTGTGAGAGAGACAAACACTGCTTCATTAGCTCGCTTCAGATGTGGTTTACTCCTCAAATGACCTGGTCAGGCCTGCACACCACCTCCCTCCCTTCCTTCACCTAAAGAACTGCCTGACCTTTGATCGGAGCAATAGGGACAGGAATGTGGGTCCTTTAACCCTTTCCTCTGATGCCAGCGAGCTGCTCTCCATGTGGTTGACAAAGTTGATGGTCCCAGGATTTTCAGGGATCCAGAGCTGCCGTGGGGGGTAGGAGCAGAGCCCTGCGAAATGGCTTTCTTCCTGCTGTAGTTAGGGAAGAACAGGCTTTGGTGATTGAGATCCATGCCTACCCTGTACAGAATGTGGACACAAAATGGGGATCACTGCGAGCAGAGCTTACAGATCAGAGACCACTCAGGATTTTTTTTTGTACCTCTATTTCAGAGCACAAAACTTTCGTAGGGGGAAAAAAACTGAGTAATTAGGCCATTTGGGTTTTCTCAACGTCCTTCCAAATTGACCACATCACAAGGACACACCAGAAACCATTTTAATTTATCAAACGTGAAATCTCCTCCAACTGCGATGAATATAAGGTAGAGCAGAGCTGGAGAGAGGAGCCACAATGAGAGTGCTTCAGCATTACTGATGATTTTGCAAATGGGACACAGTACGAATGCAGCAACCCAGGCAGCTTTCCTCTCTCGCTCTTCCCCGGTCCGGTCCCACCTTACCCCGGCACGGGGGACAGCGGGAGGATGGTGCAGGCAAGGGCTGGCTTATTAGCACCCATAAGGACTCCGAGATTGTCTAGTGAGCGATCGCAGAGGTGCAGGGACGCCAAGCAGGCGGCAGAATTCAACGACACGCGCACAAGTCCACGTGCGCTTAATTTGCGCAGCCAGCGACGGCGATTAGACAACCAAGCGTTGGCACGCGGCTTCAGCTCGGCTGTGCCGGTGGCCAGCGGTACGTTTGTGCGCTCTTCGTAAAGAAAGCAAAGGCAACGTGTCGGAGCGATTCCAAGCATTCTTGTGCTACAGGAATATGGCTTTTACCTGTTTTCCCAGTGGCTAAAAACTATCAGTGGTGCGACTAAAGTCCTCACCTCTGGCGGTCTCTGCCTTGATGAAATCTGTGATACGGTGGCACGCAAAGGATGTTGACTCGGGCTGGAAACACATGGTCTTTAATCCCTGACATTTCTCCGAAGAGGTGCACCATTACGCTTTTAAGCTCTCCTTTGCGCATCTTGTTCATGGCACTTTGCCCACCAAAAATCACACGAACTACCCCGATTTTTCCTCCAGCTCGTCTTTTTTCCTATTCTCTTCTTTTTTCCACACGTGTTCTTTCCTTCTTTATGAGGAGAAACCACCTCTCTTCTAAGGACAGGCTGAGCAATTGCAGTGGTTACTCAAATACAATACAAACTTCTAATTAAAGGAGGGGGGGCGGTGACTGGCGAAAGAATATTAAACCTTTTCAAGTCTCCTGAAATCCTTTGTGCGGAACGGCTTTGGGAAACTCGGCCTGCTGCCACCCTCCCCCTCTCGGAGAGCGTTCCCCAGGGCAGTGCCCAGGCTGCAGCTGCTGCTGCTCTGGGGGAGTCAGCCCAGCCTGACACACAAATAAATACTACATAAATAAATACTTTCTTCCAACAAAGACCTGAGGAAGAAACCCTGGGTAGGAGGAGAGGAAGGGAACGTACGTGCTGAAGCCAAGGAGCTTTGGGATAACAGGGGGAGCTCGGTCTCAAATACGGAGGAGTGAGGAAAGGCAGGAGAGCTTACAGCTGCAACCAGGTATAATATAGATTTCATGCAAAATAGATATATTTGCATAAAGATATAGCTCCATTTTCAATCAGCCCCTCTAACCTTCACAATTCATCGTGGAGCCTAAAAAACCAGAAAGACTTAAAGCGCAGAAGGATTTAACACCTGCAGGCGCAGGGGGGATAGCTCCACACAAAAACCGGCTTGAGCATTTAGGGTGGAAAAGGGATTTCGGCTGTTTAGTTCTGGTGTTCTTCACCCACAGGTGACAGAGACTGGAAAATGTGTGTACGAGGCGGCAAACACACAGGATTGCGCATGCAGAAAGAGCAGGCGGCAGCGGGAAACCCCGCCTGGCGACGATTTCGTGTTGCTCAAGTCTAAGAAATTGTGTCCTTCATTGCATTAACAGACAACTTCTGCAAAGTCTTCATTTGCATTTTAATGGAACTCTTTCTAGGAAGGTGCTGCTTGGACTCTGTCACAATATAAAATAAAGAGGTAATTAGAAACACGCTGGAGTTAAAAGACATTTCATTTTCATTAATCAGGTTTATTCATAGTCTTTTCAAAATTAAAGGTATTTAGGGTATGTAGGAGGAAATGGGGGGGAGGAAAACACATGACGGAACATCTGTTTATTTAAATTACAGATTAAAAAGTGGCAAATACACTTTTTGTGAGGGGACGTCCTAGAGATTAAAAGCACCTTGTAGAAACGGATTTGAATAAAGAGTAAGCATAAAAGTCAACTCCAAGGTTTCAACAGTAGGTCTGCCTACTTGAAAGCCAGAGATGAAGAAAATATATTAGGATGAGGGAAAGGAAACCACGGAGGAAGTTTTTAAACCTTCGGCACGCAATTATCCGGGCAATTACTGTGATGACACACCTAAGTCAGTTAGCCATGCGAACAAATGGCCAACCCCAGTTACTTGCACACGTATTACCCCAATTGTGGGCACAATCACAGTATGCAAATTGTGAACAGTTTGCAAACGTTTTATCTGCTGGACCAGCTCCTGCTTTCACAATCCCAACAACCGCACAGATTTCAAGAACGATTCCCTTGCTCGCCACAGCTATCGTACCATCAACATTGACTTCCTCCATGCTGCAGACCTATCCTGTGCTGTTAAGCTCTGTCCTTTGAAATATAGGGCAGTTTCTGTCAGATCCCTCAGCGTGACAGTCAAAAGGGCAAAATCCCGCCCTTTGTGGCAACGAGAGGTTTTTCATCCCCGGATCTGACGGCCGACGAGGAGCTATGATCTCCATTTCGCAGCGGCAGAACCTCATTCTCCAGACCTCCAGCCATTAAGCCGGGCCAGTGCCCCGCTGCCCAGTCAAGTCAAGGGGGCTCTGAAGTCTGCAGGGCTGCAGATCTTTTTTTTTTTTCTCTAGGGGGTTGTGTGAAATACAGCTTATTTCGTAAGAGAGCAGAAAGCGATTTCTCTCCCCCCCGCCCCACCGCCCCGCAAGGTGCCAAAGAGGCTGCAGCACGGCCCCGGCCAGCGGCCCAGCCCCACCGGGATCAGCAAACCCTTCGTCCTTCATCCCGCCTAGCTCCTCGCCCTCACCCGGGCGTGGCTCCCGGGGAGGCCGCGGTGGGCCTGAGGGGATGGATGGATGGATTCACCCCCCCAACGAGGGGAAAACGACCGGCCGCAGCGGCGCGTCCCTTCCTCGGGCCAGGCGCACCTGCCGCCACAGCGAGGGGAAGCAGGAGACGAACCCAGGCGGCCCCTGGGAGGCGGGAGGTCCGGAGAAAGAACGGGACCGAGGGAAAACCGTCCGTCCGTCCGACCGTCCGTCCGCCCTCCCGCCCTCCGCCTCAGCCCTGTCACCGCGCCGTCCCGGCGTGCCCCGCGCGGGCGAGCCCGGGCGCGCGCCCCCGCCCTCCTCTCTCTCCCTCCCTCCCT